GAAACAAACAATAAGTTGATTTTTACAAAAACTGTACTTTATGTTATTCTACTGCACCTTGGGTGCAGGCAATGCTCTAACAAAATTGTTTTTTTTTGGCAAAGAAATTGGTCCAAGTAATCATCAAAGAAAGTTGCTATCCAATGTATAATAATTTTTAAATATTATAATACAAAGCTTATAATACAAGTTATATTTTTTATTATATAATTAGTAATAATTTTTTTTCTACTGTTAAGTTCTAAACCTTTTTTATATAATTCAAATTTGTTATTTAATAATTTTAAGAATAAAATTGCTTTAAATAGTGTACTATAGGTAGTACACTAAAATTTGTAAAAAATTATAGTTAAAAAATATTTTTTATTTCAACAACTTTATTAATAATATTAAAAAAAATTCTGCTAAACTATACTATAGCATTTATCAGATTTTTGTATATAAAAATTATTTAGATATATAATTTTTTAGATTTTTAAACTATTTTGCTAGCTGTACTATTTATAGTACAAAATGCGAAATCCTATCCATTAAATATAAAACAACTATTGTACTTGATTTAGTTTAGTTTTAATTAATTTTTGATATAATTTAAATTAAATTTTAATATTAAAAACCAATTTCGCCAATTTCAACATTAAATAATTTAACAATTAAAAAGGTAATTTCACCACCATCTATACAACTAGGCATGTAATTTGTGATACATTAATTATTTTCTGCGTAGATTTAAATTCTTTTTTAAACCATGGTTTATTAGTACACGGAAGGTAATTTTCTTAAACGAAGTTTTGGGAATTTTTTATTTATTTTCACGTTACATTTGATATTGACAGAATCAGAAACTTTGAGGAAAATAAATAATCTTTAAAATTTACGCCTTTAATAATTAGTCCATTAATGGCAAAAAGCATGTTTTTGTGGATCAAAATAGATTACAAATCGGCCACATTTAGGAATTCATAACTACCAGATAACCATGCATTTTTGTTTACGTGACAAAAGAACAAATTTATGTAATGCATATAACAAGTAAATAAATAACAGCATTTTAATTTGACGTCAATCACAAAAAAAATTTAAACATCAATATTGATTCGTAAGAATTGGAAACAAGCTTGAAGTTTGATGTTACACTTTGCTCTGTCATGCGTGCTTTCATTATTCCTTTGCTAAAGAGCATCTTAAATCACGACATAAAATTTTTTGAAGGCAAAAGTCATAATTACACTTGTTATATATATATAGTTAGAAGAATGTCAATATACCGAGAATGTCAATATGCCAGCTTATCTAGCATAAATAGAATATAAATGAGAATTTTGCAAATTTCAAATTACAATCTCGTCAATTCTTGAAATTTATCAATGATTGTGACATGTGTAGTTTCACAGATACATTTATGGATCACGTACGTACGAGTGGTATTCTCGGATTGATACGTGTATAATTGCGTTTATGGAAATACGTATAAAATATACAGTAATTATAAAGTAATTTAATACTATATATATTAGATAGAGAAAGATTTCATGAATACATAAGAAATTCACCCTTAACTATTATTATTTTAATAAGAATTTTGACAGACTAGAATTTATTTTTAGCGAAATTAATTCAGCAGATGCTTTAAAATATTGACGTTGAAACTTCATAGGGTTTTAATTAGAAATAATTATATAATGACAAACAAGTATTTGGGATATAGAAAAGTAAAATGGTTTTTAAATTCACATAAAAAGGGGTAGAAATTGAAATTAAGGGAGAATGGGTAGGAATGGATAGGAGAGTAATATATAAAAATGAAATGTGAAAAACAGAAATAACGATAAATGGAGATAAATGGAGATAAATGAGAAACCAATTTAAGGAGGTCAACAAAGTGATATTCCTGAGTTAGTTATGCGTTCACTCGTATATCTTTTAAGTTCATGTGCATGAATAACACTATGACATTAGATCGATAAACGCCGCCAATCTATCGAAAATCTGACGAAAATACCATGATGTTGATGACCATGATGACCATGATGAGACTTACCTATGTGAATTGCGGGGGACATAACAAAGACTTGACTAAGGTAGTAAGACTGATTCACGCATAAAAGATTATCATATAAAGTGTAACAACGCATATATGAATGAATGCTATAGTAGAATGATAATAATAAGGGTAAATGTACTACGAATAAATGGAATTACTATGAATAGACGCGTCATCTTAGACGCAAAACACACGACGTTTATATATGTTTATATATGTTTATATATGTTTATATATGTTTACATGTGTTTATATAAGCGTAATTATACAGATGATAAGGGTTATAGCAAAGTTACCAAAAGTAAAAATGGTGTTCAAAATTACCGGATTTTTAATATTTAATTATTTCCCGACCGTAAATATGCTTAAAAATTAGCTAAAATTAGCTTCTTGTATGAAACAAACATTGGTCAAACCTTCTGTATATGTACATGAACCTGTATACAGACATAAGTTACATCATTTATTTAAATCCACATGATGAATTATGTTTGTTTTTTAAATGTAACTTTTAAGATCTCATCTATTGTCTACAACGCACCGACCACTTTTTTAAAATGATTGGTTAATTATTTCATTAAAGTTTTGCGCTTGTATTCATGAATAATCCATAAAGATCATATTTTAAAGATAATGGCATTCGAATTGAAACATTGAACGAATATTAATTTAAAAAGAAATAAAAAAAAAATAGCTACTGCATAACTGAAAATCACGCGAGTGAATATAAATATCACGTGAAAATGAAATATCACATGATTATTAATACAGATAATAGCGATAACGATATATAATAAAAGAATTAGTACCCAATCACTATATTAATATATCAAATGCTTTTATGAATACAGGCAGAAGTAGTTTCTGCTAATACCTCACTAAATTTTTTTTAGTCATATTAGAAATATAATAAAAAACTAATAAATAATAAAATAATTCGATATCTAAACCATTTATTGTAGCACAAAATGGTAATTTTGGTTATCTTTTTTTTTTTTTTTTTTTTTTAACAATGGCTTCTATCGGAAATATTAGGGAGATTTGAGACGTTTGTTACCGTTTTTAAAGAAATAAAATTGATATCGGCTCTTATCAGTTAAATTGTTACGTAATTATTAATTAATTAATTAATGATAGGTAAATGCCTACGTATCACAATTCGCGGATATTCTTTTTGTGCGCGTAAAAGGGGGTACCAGAAGGATCATTACTTTATTGTAAATGAAAGTTTGGAATATCGATGTTATCAAGCTACTGTATAACATGTGTAATTATCAGAGTTACGCGATTACAACATTAATTATATGAACCAGCCTCGCGATAAAATAAGATCTTCATTTTTTATTTATTCATATTTTCTGATGTTTCTGATTACTTTGATTACTCTGATTACTTATACGTATATCTGATATATAATAGTATCATACAGTATATTACTCTGATTACTTATACATATAATAATATCATATACAGATATACGGATAAGAGTTCTTCTTATTTTAAGGAAGAGAGAGAACAAAAAAAAGTTTTTTAAGTTATGCATCATATGTTAATGCTTCAAAAATCCAGTAATGGCGGATTCTACACGAAAAAGTTGCAATACTGCAAAAATATTAATCTATTATACAGTAGATAATAGAACTTTAAAGAAGCATTCTTAGAATTACGAGCAAATAATAGCAAGATTTGACCGAACACAACATGTGACCGAATGCATATCATTAATGGGCGAGCATTTTCGCTTTTTTTTTTTTATAATTAAAAGGAATAATGGCAAGACTTTTATTTACATTTGGAACAAATAGATTGCTAAGATAACGAATTCAGATTGCTAAGATAACGAATTTGTTAGAAGGTATCCAGTTATGCATGAGTTTGAACAGAATGATTTTGTATGCACATTATCTTGGCACGAGACGTTACAGCGCATACATTATGAAGAATGTTCAATTATCATCCATATCTAAGAGAACAATGAATGAATAATAGTAGTAGTAAATCGTAATGTAGTAAATAATGAAAGAAGGCTGATCAAAAAAAAAAAAAACTGGTAGATGACGAGAAAAGATCATTTATATAGTTAAGAGGTGTAGCACTTAATTCTGGGATTAATGAAATATGGTTGTACAACATAAAGAGTTCTTTATTGTCACCACAAATTCCTACATGTTTGTTTACTTTCCATTTTCACAGGTGACCTCAAGTGTGACGCATCCTCGTTTTTTCTTTTTTTTTCATTTGTAAAGAATTTATATACGCAAACACCAAGCGTCATAAGGGTTACAAAGGAGAATGTGTAGGTCATTTGATGAATTACGCAATTATAGATCTGTAATATAATTTACTCCCTACTGTGTTTGATGAACGGGAAATCAGCTGGTCTAAATGTGGTTTTTATATTGTGTTCTTATACACCATATATTCTATTCTATTTATTCTATTTATTCTATTTATTCTAATATATACACTATATATGCTATATCTGATACCTATCAATAATAAAATAAATTAAACAAACCGCGCATTTTGAATTTTTACCTTTTGCCTGTGATATTTATCTATTTTATATACTATTATTACATAATATAACTTATTCTGTATATTCATGTAACAAGTTTATCTCGGTTTATTTTTTTTGTGGATCCAAGATGCTTTTATCCCTTCCGTTATTTTACATTTATACCTTACGAACTGGCTACCCCCCTTTAAATTTTCGTGTTTTTTTTGTTTCCGTTTTCAATGACATTTTTTTCTCGGCCACCATCCTTTCCTTAGTAACTTTTTTTTTTAACGTGTATCTTCAATTTTTCTATCTCTCCTAATCGATTAAGAACGATAAAACCGTTTTAAATACCTTTTGTTTGACCATCTAACATAAATTCCTTTTAAAGAACGAACCGATATTTTTTCTATAAAATATTTTACGTAATTTCATAAAAAAAAAAATATACATATAATGTTTTCCGAATGTGAACCTATATCAGAGGATGGTCAACATTATGTTCGCTGGATACATTTTTTATTCGGCTCCTGTGTATATGGCAACCAAGGAATATTTAGCTTTATATTAGGTAGGTTAATCAAAAAAAAATTTTTTAAAGGCGAGGCTATCATTGTTAGTTATCGTTCTATCTTCTTTTTTTTTTCATTTCACTTCATTCCATTCCATTCTAATATTGCCAACTTTATTTTTTATAGGATTTGCTTCTATAGCATGTTGGTTATGCGCTCAATTTCCGTATGTATTATTTTTTTTTTTCTTTTGCCATCTTTCTTGTTCTGGTTGGTCTGGTCAACTGATCATCAATATCTTTTTTAGCCAAATTATAACAAATTACCGTAACAAGTCTGTTGATGGTCTTAGTTTGTTATTTTTAATGAACTGGCTATTGGGTGACTTGGCTAATCTTGTTGGCTGCATATTGACAAAGCAATTGCCATTCCAGGTAATTGATCATGTGACTATTAGTATCGATACCTTTTTTTCTTCGTACTTAATGTTTCTCTTTTAATAGGTGTATCTAGCAATTTATTTCTGTTCAGTAGACTTTGGACTTTTTTTCCAATACTTTTATTACTCCTGGTTCTATCCTCGACAAGATGATGAATATGTACCGATAGGACCAGATGATCCAATTAATCAAAGGTATTCTATGTCTTTACTAAGGAGTTCGATATTAGAAGGTGCAAAAAAAAGTTACACGTTCCCAGAATTAAAGAAAGGATCTCATAAACGAATGTATGTTTTACTCTTTTATTTTTTCTTTCTTAGTCCTTTGATTCTTTAATTTTATTGATTTTTTTAATTTATTAAATTTATTAGTTCTTCGATGGTTTTCGTTGTCCTCCTATTCACTTTTCATTCCACTTCTGTTATAAAACCTTCCTTCTCTACTTCCCATCCAAATAATCACGCAGTATCTCTAGATCATAATGATAATACTCTTAATGATTCAATAAACAGTAGTATGCTTATAGGTCGGATAATGGCTTGGGCTTGTGCTGTGTTATATTTAACAAGCAGAATGCCGCAAATATGGAAAAATGTAATTAATATGTTTAATTTTCATGTGATTGATTTTCTTATTATTAATTTTCACATGTATTTTTAATTTATATACTATTTAATTTTTTTTTTTTTAACAATTTATCTTATAAATATTTTAGTATACGAGAAGATCTGTCGAAGGTCTTTCCATATTCATGTTCATATTTGCTGCACTTGGCAACCTTACTTATACTTTGTATATATTCACAAATCCCGAGGCAACTAAAAATCCCTCTTCTCTTCGTGAAGCTGTTCCTTATATACTGGGATCTGTTGGTACCTTATCATTTGATACTGTCGTATTTCTTCAATGGTTAATGTGGCGTGATCCCGAACATCGAAAGTTTCGTCGAAGTAAAAATTACTCTGAAAGTGACACTGAGCAAGTGCCAAATGTTAGGAGTAATCGAAATTCAAGGACTTTTTATGATCATAGGAGGAGCGATTATACTATAGATGATGTTTACCCTTAATTTGATTTTCAAAAGATACAAGTATACATAATATATAGATACTATAACACAATAGTTAACGTTTACTTTTATTTACTTTTTTTTTTGTTATCAAAATAATCAAGTAATTTTCGGTGGCCGAGATTATATTTCATGATTTACGAATTACGAATTTATTTAATGAACACTAGTATGAACACTAGTCCTCATTCTCGTAGTTTAACTAACAAATTTCACTCTGTAATCACAAAACACGATTCTCTCTAATTAAAATTCTAAATCTTTCTAAATGTGCTTTTTTTTTTTCGTGTAATATATTAACGTTTTTTTTTTTTATATATATTCACATATATATTTTGTTACATAGCTTCGTTCATTTTCAATTTATCACTTTCTTTGTCAATATGTTTAACTTTTAAAAAACAAAAAAAAACAAAAAAATTATCTTTTACGCTGTCTTTTTGATATTTCCAAAAAAAAAAAAATCCAAAAAAATTCCTTGGAATATCAGGATTATATTTCCTGAAAAATAAAATGAGAATATAAAATATTGCTTTTTCTTAAACTAAATGATTATTTAATATATATATGGGGCTGAGTCAATAGAAATCAAGCAAATATTTTTAATAGGTTTTTTAAAACTTTAACCAAGAATAACTTATAAAAACTTAATCAAATTTAATAAAAATTTTATTAAATTGATTTTACAACTCTGTAAAAATTATTTTAAAAAAAATTTATTAAATTTAATCAAGTTTTTGTTGTTATTCTTGTTTAAAGTTATAAAAAAAATTTATTATAAAAAACTTGTTTGATTTCTATTGACTTACCCCTATATATATGTTTATCGTTATTGCGCGATACACGTATATCAGATATATATATATATAATAATTATATACGTGTGACGGAAAGAGAAATTCACTTGATGACCAAGCGTGTTATTGAACGATCAGCTGTATACATATTTATCACATGTAATTATATATTGCTGAATCAATTTTACAAGGGCCGGTAAATTTACAGGTCTCTATTCTTTATATTCACGTGATTGAAAGATCTTTTTAGACTCATTCTGAAACTATTTTGCAAGAAATTCTTTTTCTTTAACATTCTCGTTTGTTATTATATACAGTCTGACCTCTATATAATCACAAGGTTGTGACTATATTGACGCTTATAATAGATATCAAAAACATAGTTTCGGCATTTTCCGTCTATATAACGCCCCTGGATACTTCAGAGGCTGAGGTAAAAATTTTTGGTTCCGGACTTGTACCGGTTTCCGGTTTCTACAGAGCGCGACACTTAAAGATTACATTTGTCCCATTTTTAAAATTTAAAATTTAAAACTTTAATTTGTTTTAAAATGTTGATTTTTGGTGTTTTTATAGTTACTTAATTTTGATTGGTCAAATTTCTTGAATTTTGATTGGTCAAAATGATTTTAAAATTTTATTATATAAATTTAAACCAATTTGATTGTCTATTTTTTTTCAATGTGTTCCATTTTTAACTTTTTTCATATATTATCATATAAAAATATTATATTTTTAAAGCTATATACTTTAAAAAGTTATAATTTTTTAAAAAATAAAGCCGCTAAGTTGTAGCAAATTGATTAAGCTACAAAATAGCGGCTTCTTTTTTTAAATATCTTTTTTAGATCAAAAGATATTGGCTTTTAAACTTTGTGTAGTCTTTAAGTGTCACGCACTGTA